ATTACTTGACGAGATTTTGAAAACTGACATTCATCCTATTGTTATATTCGAAGATAATCAATCTTGCATGAAAATGGCTAGTACACTAGAAACCAAACGTACCAAACATATAGATGTAAGGCATCATTTTATTAAGGATTGTGTATGTAGAGGTGAAATTGAATTAGTTTATATACCAACATCAGAACAAGTAGCCGATATATTTACTAAGGGTTCACCTCATGTTGAATTTAAATATTTCAGAGACAAATTGAATGTAGTTGAATGTTAGTAATTTTTGTATTCAAATATTATAGAATTGAAGGGAAGTGTTGATATAAAGCAATTCTGATCATACACTCTGTATGTTAAATATGTTATATACGCTCTGTATAAAATAGAACATAATCAATGACATATGACTCATAAGACATATTGTAATTGCTATAGTGTTGTTTAGAAAAATTGAGACTTATCGTATGGTAATTGTTTCTATATACTGAATATTAATTCATGTTGTATTTCTCTGATTGAAAGTAAAACTATTCCTACTGAAAGCTTATTATTCAACTCTGAATCACCACATAGACTACGCACTAGCTCACTGCATCGCCGAGGATGATTAGATGTCTCAAGGAATAGCCAACAATTTCATGAGGAAATTCGTAATGTTAGACTAGCTTCATCAACTGGGTCTCTCCGTCGGTCGAGCACTAGAAATATAAGATATCACTGCTGATGAAGGAGAACGATTTCTGTACCATCGGATAACGAAAGCAATATCTACTGGAGAACCCACTCACGAGGACCTATGGAATACGCAAGTCAATTTACGCAGGGCCATACTCGACAAGGACAAACAGAAGATAGCATAGCTTTCTCGGAGCTGACATGTGGTCTGTATTGAATTGAAGAATTGTAAGAAACATGCTGGAGGTTGTTTTTCGATTTACCGAAGTTGAAATTCTGATATGCTGCTAGAATTTCAGAGGAACTTCGAGAGGTAAGACAGTGCCATGCTACTTCTACCGTACTGCACGTTGTAGAAATCGAAGCAGTTGTCCTTATCTTCATAACGAACAAAGTGCATTCCAGGAAGAATGTAATCGAAGAAGGAGGGGAGGTTATGTAATGATATCCATTTCGAAGGAGCTACAGAACATCATCAAGAGAGCAGGAGTACAACGATCACCCAGTTACTTGGATCACTCTCGAACATCCCAATGATTCTAACATGTACCAGCGTATTTCCGAACACCCAATATGTGTCACGGAGACACAAAACCTGATAGAAGAATCTAGAATCATCTCGAAACAATCGATGGAACACTCAGAAAAAGAGAGGAATATATTTTTCTTGAAACTTGTGAAACAACAGAGGGGTACGGAAGATCAATCGAGAACGTTCAAGAATCAAAGCCTGCCAAGGGATTTGATATATAAGGACGGCTGGACAGCTGCCGTCAGTCAGACAAGCAGCGAGTGTAACAGAGACAGTCATGAACCGCGTGATATGTATCGTGTTGGATGAATAGTGGTCATGAGTTCGATTTAAATCTCTGTTCGTTGTGATAAAATGAATCAGTTTGATAATAAATAGTGATGTGTTCGCTCTTGCACCCGAATGACGTAACAATATGTAGTTTGTTCACTTGCAAAACAAATCCCGATATGTTTTTATAAATATCGACCAGGAACGCACGATGTTCTCTGAACATTATAGGAATTCCCTTTCGTGCGCTCCAAGCGATAAAAGAAATAAAAAATTGAAATTGCAATATGCGAATCACTCTTTGAATAATAAAATTCGAAGGGTGGTTCGCTTTCAAATGGTAATTATTTTGAATGGTGTATATTTGAGGTCATTGAAATAATTGCAAACAATCCAAACCCCTATGGAAGCTCAAGGAATAATATCAAATGACGCCAATAAAACAATATATGGACGAAAATTTAATTTGGAGTCAGACCCAATGTTCTACATTTCAGCAATCTTGACATCACCCCTATCCGAATTTTCGTGAGGAAGATACAATCATTAGGATATTTCTGAAGTTACGTAATTGATTTTTCTCTCGTTTTTGGTTAAATTTTTGAGATGAAATTTTTCGTTGATCAGGATGATCAGAAGAAACTGATTTTATGTGAATGTTCTTGAGTATGCATCACATTGATGTGCTGAATGTATAAGGTACTCATTTCGAAAACACCCCGTTTTCAAAAAATATATTATATGATTATGATGCAAATGATGTGATATAATGCAGAGTATCAATATGCACCTAATGAAGAATATTATCATGCACTTATCCTCTCCATAACCTCCCTAGGTACGCACGATGTTATTCGAATATCATAAGGATATCTTTTCGTGCGCGCGAAGCAATAAGATGATCACATTGAATATTTGAAAAATACATTCAAGGTGAGACGCATAAATAACTGATGAAAGGAATACAAATATGAACTATATAGAATCAGTAACATATTACATGAATCTGACTATTTTTCACTAGAATTTCGGGGATTGTTTAAGTTCTCATCACGTCAATTTCACTGCACCATAATGTCGAATTACTCTGGATGAATTCCTTCAGCAGATATCAAAACTTGGAACCATATTTAGATTTGACTTCTGCAGGAATTGGATTATGGGCTCTTGGTGCGATGTTGGAAGATCATCGCTGACAAATTGATCTGGTTATAATATGTGGAATCAAAACTGATGATGTATCTGCCGTGGTTGGTACCTGATAAGCGAGCTGATGAGTGATAAATATAGTTGCCTAATATCAATAATCTGCTCATTCCATATAATTGGTCTGAGGGAAATCTTCGAGTTCTGGAAAGAATCAATTTCAGATATGAGAATTTGTTGATTGCGTTTTCAATTTTTTCGTGCAATTCAGATATCGGAATATTGTGATGTTCAGCTGGTTGACTGAATCCGATGCTGATTTTATTTTTCATAGTGCTCCACCATTCTGTCCGACTCCGCATATTTCCGTGAATGTACCGTTTAAAAAATTACAAATACTGATAATTATTCTCGTCGAATGAGTTGAGGTATAAGTCCTTGGAACTTCAATCCTGAAACGTTGTCTATAGCTCATCAAATCCTTCATAAATGGAATTTTTCAATCGATATTTCGAAAACACTGAGAAAAAATAGCAAATTCGATCGCCTTGAAGAAAACATTTGTTTATACGCAAGGTATTTCTTAACCAGCTGAATTTGGTTCTCCTTGCCTATATTACTCTGCCATAGTGGACGAAGTTTTTCATGAATCGGTTGGACATTAGTAATTGTTTTCTGCTACTCAATATTTGAAGAACATCTGAGTCTAAATCCCAAATGATCTGCCAGTCTTTGCACATCCGCCACTGTTATCACCCGATTAGGTATCTCATCAGGAAAATGTTCCGGCTCCAAAGAATCGGATCGACCGCTTTCCACACCTGCATTGGAAAACAGAAAAGGATTCAGACAAATGGATCAGACAATGTTTCTTTGGCATGACTTCATATTCAGCAGCCAGGGCATTTTTCGACCGAGCTCATCTGAGACAGAAGGCTATAAGAAGGGGTTTTCAACCTTGAGAATGACGATTTCCTATACTGAATTTTCACCTCAATTCTCGCCAAGTATGTTGCAATCTCTGAGTTTGAATACTGTATTTTTACGAATCTCCCTGATACTTTATTGGAATTTATAAGGGTACTGCCCCTACTATATTCCGTCTCGCATCATGGGACATTGAGACAAAGATCCCTCATATAGATATCCATACTGCCGTCGTAACGAAGAGGGCCGTATCTGCATATTTCATGATTTTGGGGTTAGATGTCAGCCCAATAGAATCGAGGACAAGAAATCTATTTATGTAGCTTAAAATGCCGTGTCTGTATCAGAAATGCCTGAAAATACACTTACGTTTTTACTAAAATTACGTCATGAGGAGGTAGTTGTATATTAGATTACCGTAACAGACATTTTGTAGGTGAAAAAACAGTATATGGTTATTTACCCCGTTATAAGCTAATCATACGAATTGATAATCAGATCCCTTTTTAGCTTAAAGAATCGTATCACAAATTCCTTACTTATAACACCGTATCTACTAGTTCGACATATCGATATTATAAATTTACCGGTGTCCGAGTCAGCAACAGACCTTACTACAATTTTCCAGTGAGAAAAAATACTTTGTTTATAGCGAGGTTTATAGTATCTTTCTTCCATAATTATTCTAGATGTTCTGTATAATGTTAGATACCTTGTTCATGATTAAAATATGTCTCTTTATTTTTTCTCTTAATTTAGCTTATATAAGCGTAAGTGCATTTTGGATGCTTTTAAACTATATTTTTTGCATTTATCCGATCTCGATTCATTCATCATCATCAAAAAACTTGATACATACCAAAATCACAGAATGTGCTGTGCATTTTTGAGAAAAATAGAGTTTCAAAGTTATGGGCAGTTTACTCCAGACAGTGTTTTTGCAGATACGGTTCTCTCTATTACCACGGCAGCATAGGTATTTACCTTTATCAATCTGAATAAGGCTCATATGATACCCTAGTGCTATGAAGGAACCTTCATCTCACATTTCGATGTTTTTATATTCGAAACGAATGCGCACCTGCGTCGGACTCACTTCTCCTCCAAGAATCTGATGATTTTTCATGCATCACCCCTTTGTTTTAACATTCCTTCTTGAAATGAAATAATTTGCCAGTATTTTCCAATTATACTACTTCATTATCTTGACACAATTTTGCTTAAGCGTACACAATCAATGAGATCGCTGTGTGGAGCGTGTGCAGGACAGAAAAAGCAAACTCGTTTCATTCGAACATTTATACCGAACTTAGGCTGGCGCAATAGGCTAGTGCAAATTGTTATCCGCGGATACGCCTGGAATGAATATCGAAGGACCACATGAAATTTAATGAACAAAAATGACGTATATAGTGATTATAATCAACATTATTATTTTACTCTCCATTATTTTCAGTTCCTGGACTAGGTGTGAGACATATTCAAGTTGGTCTGCTGTTCTCACTTCTTGCGATTGCCTATGGCATGCGTGTGAATTTATCAGTAGCAATTGTTGCTATGACGGATGTCAGCACGTCAAGCAATCCCGATGTACCGGTGAGCAGAAAATGAATAATTGATTCTTTCCATGCAATATTTAGGTTCTCTCAACAAAAACTCAACCAGACTCGAGAATTGTAGAACGAAATTCTATGAGAAGAAGTATAACTCCAATATAATATGTGTGGTATAAACAAATCAGAAATCGCATTTGCTCAATGATTTCTCACTTGAATGCTCATTTTCAATGATATTTTCTTTAACAGCGAAACAATATTGATTTTTGTTTCGTTATATCGATCAGTTTACTCATTCTCAGATAGAAAATATTCATGGAAAAGAGAATAACAATTTGTTCTCAATGTATTGCTCGGAATGATCGAAAGTATTTAAATCAGGTGACCTTGGTAGTCTCAGAACAATATTCCGATTCCATCAACTGTCAAGTTCAATCCGTTATGTCCAAGACTTCGGTACCAGTGTATTTGCATAAAAAAAAATCTTCGATGATGTGATGGAAGTAGGATAGTTTCATTTAGATTCTTTCACTAGAAGTTATTTCGGGTGAGTGATATAAGAAAAAATATATTGTTCGACTGTCGAAATGTCGACGGTTCTCTGTGATATTGATCAAGAAATCAAGTTCTATAGGTGTCAAGTTCTTATCGAAATAACCCATTGTATGTCTTATAATGTATTACGATGGAAACATCATTCTATGAATTTTCGTTCAACTGAGGAGCTACTCAGAATCAACAGGTGATCGTCAAATACAAAATCCATTCTGAATCTGTGATAAAGATAAGATTCCTGTTGTTGACAAACTTCATTCGCTTTTCTGATCTTTCGCTTCTGGATAGAGCACGTGTGCTGAGAAGCTTCAGTGCCTGCTAGATTTTGTCCATCAATATTTTTCTGTGGAAACTTTGTCCAATGGACTGAATACCTGGTGAACGCACATAGAGGAATAGTTTGAAGCTTTAGGAATTGGCGGTATGTTCTCAATTTCTATATCATGATACACAACTCTTGGTGGAATAGATTCAAAAAGATTTTGATTCAACCATCTTGTTGAGTATGAGCTGCATCATGAACGCGCGATTAGTAAAGTTATCACATCACGTATCGTGGGCAAAAACCGTGAGATGCTGAAATGACTCTTGTAGAGGGAGCGAGTGACTTCTGATTATACAGGTGATTTGGATAATTAGGCTCCCGATTCAGTTGGATAACATGGAGAAAGAAATCGATTATACTAAATTGTTCTAAAATTGTTCTATCCGTCATTCGGTTTCCCCCTTACGAGCAACCCTCAGAAGTCTTCGAAAGACTTGTGCGAGCAAGGAATGACGGGGGCCTTACCTTTGAACGTGTGATCCCAAACACTTTCTTATGCCATCAGAAAAAGTCTGCGTTCGTGGGTCTCGAACCCGCTATCGATACCTCGACGTGAATCGATATTGAAGCATCGAAGCACTGAGGTACGCCGGCCGGCACTGTCATTGAATATATTTTCGATAAATTTCTCTATAGAGAGGTTGAAGGTTCATACATGTCACGAAGAGAATTGATAGATTCGACAAGTTTTGAAGAAGAATAGGTTCTCAGCAAACTCAGATATGGATTTTATCACAACAGTCTGACAAGTTTGACAAGCAACAGAACTGAAAGTAAATGAAGTGCTTATATCATAAACATATTCTCATATTGAGATCCACTTGATATTTATGATTTTATACAATAATAGTACATAGCTAACACCAGGCGACTGTTGGAACCAAATATAATTCAATCTCACAGTTGAAAACCCAAATGGCATTCAGTTCAACTTGTCTTGCTAACAAACTTTCACTTTTCTAGCAACATGAAGAGAAACCATACCACAAGAATATCAATCCCGATATATGATACTGAATGCTTATTTTGTCAAATCTTGCCTCCCTTTGAACTTCGTATACCCAGGCTATGTATGCGGAGTTCACTATATGCGAATAAAGTGAAATGATTTTTTTACATGACGGATGTGACTCCTCTTGCCCTCAAGTATTCCGAATTTGTTCTATTGAATTGAAATGTTCGACATGACATGCATGGAACAAACCTCTTTCTTCGTTTTCATTCACATGCTCTAGTATGAACATTACCGGAGTAATCACCTTCATATAAAAGGAGAGATTTTTTTGGTTCCTTTTTTCAATGCAGACGAAATTGGGTTAGCACGAAGTGATACCATGTCACCTGCTTCAAACTCTATCAGTGTGAAACCAGCCACGAGTTCCAGCCACGACTTCGCCTAATATTCAAGGCGCGCGCCATACCACCAATGGTCGTTCATTATCAATTTATATTCATGGCTGGCCATGAAATTACTCAAACCTCAAAAATATGTCCATGGATGAAACTATTTCACAGCAATGATTTTCTCTGAGGGTCTATGATAATCTGTATATCTCACAATATTTTGTCGGGCAAGAATTAACCCCACAGGCCCCCATTTTCGGAATTTCTAAAAAAATTCATAACTTTTTCAAAATACACGTGGATGGGAGTTTTTTTCTATGAATGTGTTTCTCTGATGGTACTCAATAATATGTATATCTCACAATATTTTGTCGGGCAAGAATTAACCCCATAGGCCCCATTTTTCGGAAATTCGAAAAAAATTCATAACTTTTTCAAAATACACGTGGATGGGAGTTTTTTTCTATGAATGTGTTCCTCTAATGGTACTCAATAACATGTATATCTCACAATATTTTGTCGGGCAAGAATTAACCCCATAGGCCCCCTTTTTCGGAAATTCGAAAAAAATCATAACTTTTTCAAAATACACGTGGATGAGACTTTTCTTCAATGAATGTGTTCCTCTGATGGTACTCAATAATATGTATATCTCACAATATTTTGTCGGGCAAGAATTAACCCCATAGGCCCCCTTTTTCGGAAATTCGAAAAAAATTCATAACTTTTTCAAAATACACGTGAATGAGAGTTTTTTCCTATGAATGTGTTCCTCTGATGGTACCCAATAATATGTATATGTCACAATATTTTGTCGGGCAAGAAATAACCCCATAGGCCTCCTTTTTCGGAAATTCGAGAAAAATTCATAACTTTTTCAAAATACACGTGGATGGGAGTATTTTTCTATGAATGTGTTCCTCTGATGGTACTCAATGATATGTATATCTCACAATATTTTGTCGGGCAAGAAATGACCCCATAGGCCCCCTTTTTCGGAAATTCGAAAAATATTCATAACTTTTTCAAAATACACGTGGATGGGAGTTTTTTTCTATGAATGTGTTTCTCTGATGGTACTCAATAATATGTATATCTCACAATATTTTGTCGGGCAAGAATTAACCCCATAGGCCCTCTTTTTCGGAAATTCTAACAAAATTCATAACTTTTTCAAAATACACGTGGATGGGAGTTTTTTTCTATGAATGTGTTTCTCTGATGGTACTCAATAATATGTATATCTCACAATATTTTGTCGGGCAAGAATTAACCCCATAGGCGAGGGGTAAATCTCCTTGGAAGTCTGGTGTACACTCCGTTGGAAGTCTTTGGAATTCTTTGGATGTCTTTGGGAGTCTTTGGATGTCTTTGGAAGTCTTTGGGAGTCTTTGGATGTCTTTGGAAGTCTTTGGTAGTCTTTGGATGTCTCTGGAAGTCTTCGGAAGTCTTTGGGAGTCTTTGGAAGTATTTGGAAGTCTTTTGGAGTCTTTGGAAGTCTATGTTGATTGGAAGTCTGGTGTACACATTTTTCCTGGAGATTTACCCCTCGCCCATAGGCCCTCTTTTTCGGAAATTCGAAAAAAATTCATAACTTTTTCAAAATACACGTGGATGAAAGTTTTTTCCTATGAATGTGTTCCTCTGATGGTACTCAATAATATGTATATCTCACAATATTTTGTCGGGCAAGAATTAACCTCACAGGTCCCCTTTTTCGGAATTGCGAAAAAAATCATAACTTTTTCAAAATACACGTGGATGGGAGTTTCCTTCGATGAATTTGTTCCTCTGATGGTATTAAATAACATGTATATCTCACAATATTTTGTCGGGCAAGAATTAACCCCATAGGCCCCCTTTTTCGGAAATTCGAAAAAAATTCATAACTATTTCAAAATACACGTGGATGGGAGTTTTTTTCCATGAATGTGTTTTTCTGATGGTACTCAATAATATGTATATCTCACAATATTTTGTCTGGCAAGAATTAACCCCACAGGCCCCCTTTTTCGGAATTTCGAAAAAAATCATAACTTTTTCAAAATACACGTGGATGGGAGTTTTTCTTTATGAATGTGTTCCTCTGATGGTACTCAATAATATGTTCATCTCATAATATTTTGTCGGGCAAAAATTAACCCCATAGTCCCCCTTTTTCGGAAATTCGAAAAAAATTCCTAACTTTTTCAAAATACACGTGGATAGGAGTTTTCTGCAATGAATGTGTTCCTCTGATGGTACTCAATAATATGTATATCTCACAATATTTTGTCGGGCAAGAATTAACCCCATAGGCCCCCTTTTTCGGAAATTCGAAAAAAATTCATACCTTTTTCAAAATACACGTGGATGAGATTTTTTTTTTCTATGAATGTGTTCCTCTGATGGTACTCAATGATATGTATATCTCACAATATTTTGTCGGGCAAGAATTAACCCCATAGGCCCCCTTTCTCGGAAATTCGAAAAAAATTCATAACTTTTTCAAAATACACGTGTTTGGGAGTTTTTTTCTATGAATAAGTTCCTCTGATGGTACTCAATAATATGTATATCTCACAATATTTTGTCGGGCAAGAATTAACCCCATAGGCCCTCTTTTTCGGAAATTCGAAAAAAATTCATAACTTTTTCAAAATACACGTGGATGGGAGTTTTTTTCTACAAATGTGTTCCTCTGATGGTACTCAATGATATGTATATCTCACAATATTTTGTCGGGCAAGAATTAACCTCACAGGCCCCCTTTTTCGGAATTTCGAAAAAAATCATAACTTTCTCAAAATACACGTGGATGGGAGTTTTCTTCAATG